GACAGGGAGGAGAGGGAGCACTTGACACAAGTGTTCATTAGATATCGACTCCTGAAGGATACCATTCTTAAGATAATCGCCGCCGAAGAACAACCCAATCATACAGACTGTTAAATAAATGACAAAATTTAAGTGTTTTTCACACAAATTACAGTATATTTTGGAAATGACTTTAATATACAGTAAATGAGATTACATTCACTTTCATTCAGAGTTTGAATGTGTCTTACAGTTAGACTTGATTTCAATGGATATACAGATTGTATGAATGTATGACACGGAAGATAATTATCAGTGTTTGGAAAACTCCTATCAGTGTGTCTAAGGGTTGGAAATGTACTGGGTTATTTTGGGAAGTAATATAAGTTCAATACATATTTATATTGAATTGACTTTTGGTTTTGTATTTTGCGCTCAAATTCACAACACTTTCGACGTTTTCATTGGATTTGAGTTTTGACTCAAAACTGTTGTGAAAAATATTCAAAAATAAATGATTTTTAAATGAATCATAATTTTGTCACAAATTGTGTTGAGATGTGTTTGCGGGACGTATTGAGCACTCAATCAGTGATCCATTCAATCAGTCAGTGGTTTACTATTCAGCACTCAATACACGCTTTGATTACGCGTTCAAAGCATTCAAATCCAGTTGAAGACCACTTTTGGGCCACTTTTTGATTTATTTATTGATTGCGGTATTCATTACCCAAACAAGTGGTCAGTCGTATGTCTTCGGGTGGACACAGAAATGGTCATACATTTGGTGAGTGTTTGTGACCTATAATCAAGTGATGATAATAACAATGCTTTTGAATATAAATAGTTATATCCGATAAACTCGTCGCTCAGACTCTCCTTAAGAGATCTAAAAGGAGATCCAGAAGAGTGGCCGCAAATGATAATCACATCCTTGAGGAAGAGTTTCGAAGGAAATATAAGGACTGCAGACACTATGCCCTCAATTTGATCCATAAATACATCCAATTTGGTGACCAAACAAAGTAAGTCTCTCTCTCTCTCTCTCTGTCTGTCTCTCTCTGTCTCTCTCATAATTAATGAAATACTGATCCAAACAGTGATTGTATCCGACGTTTACGAGAACTCTTCGATTTTCTGGAAGAGAGGACAGCCATCATAGGCATCGAGAGTCTCCCTATGGGTCCCTACGAAGGCAATCTCTGTGAGGCCGTGTATTCTTGGATTCTTTGGCGCGTAATGAAGCACTTCCGAGGCTTAGCGTCTGAGTTGTCCCTCAGAAACCAATTGCAGTAATGATTGAGTCGATTGTCACAATTGATTGCATTTATAAACTATTGTTTTGTGTTTTGCATTCATTTAGACACCGACAGCAATACGAAGACATGAGTGAAAGACTGTCACAATTCATACAACTCTTTCATTCCTATGTTAAGCCTCCAGAATCACCCGATTCTACTCCCGGATCCCACTCAACCCCCACTCAAACGTTTGTCGCGCAGTAATGGTTTGATTGTTGTTTTCAAAACACATCCATTTATGACAATTTCCTCGAAACCCCTTTCCTTCCGATTATCCCTTTCCGAGTGTCTGTCCCACAGACCACTCACGTCTGATATATGCGTTAATATTGATGATTAAATTCATTACAAATTGTATCGCATTTTCTCTTTAATTTTAATCAAATGTAAAACAGTTTTTAATCTTATATTTCAATAGTTTTTGTGACAAAACAATAACTCATTAACCGCTGAACCCGTTGTCTGTGTTCTCAACGTTTTTATCCTTTTTTCTGATTAAATATA